TTATAAATATTTTCTTTCCAAACATTAATTCAGGTTTATTATTTTTCGTTATTAAAATTGTCTTTAAAATACGCATATAGCTAATATATATTATTTGAAGACATTAAATCGATTTAATTATCTATAATTGTTCAAATTATCATTATACGTATTTTGGTATTTATTATTTATAAACATAATGTTGTTTTAAGACGTTAGAATTATTGTTAGTAAAATCGGTAGAATTATTTTTAAATTATTAAAACTGTAAATGTAGCAGGACTGTAAATGGGCAGGAGATAATACAAATAAATTTGATAATTCATATTGTTAGAGGGAAAATATTTCGTTACAAATTCTAACATTACCATTGATATTTTCACCACAGTAGCAGTAAATCCATATATAAGTAGATGACAAATAGTTTACGAAAGTGATATAAATAGTACTTCAGTGGCTAGAATTCTACCGAGATATAAGTTACGGTAACTCGCATTAATATTCGAACACCATCGTGTCCAAGAGATTACTGCTGTACCTGTCTGCTTACAATAGCTTCAACGAATTGGTCGTTTCTAATGTATTAAAACATTTATTATAGTTAATAAACAACTATGTTTCATTTATTTAATGCAGTAAATGCAACGAATTTTTAACGTAAGCATGGGTACTAAAGTGGATAATAATCAAACTTTATGTCTCAACCATATTCATACGAGAAGGAGACATAACACTTTTACAGATAAAATATATACAGTATTCTACCTCAATATTCCCTTTAATTCGAATATTATAAGAAATATTTTGTATGCAATTTGTGTGGTAGAAAAAAATTTGTTCACCAAGTTCGTCTTTTTCGAAGATTTTGAGGTCATTAATGCCTTTTTTAATATGATATATATTAATTTAGATATGTATAATTATATGAGCTTAAAATGACCTTTGATTTCCAAAATTAATATTAAGCCTCAATTTATTTCTTCCGAAATTACAAATTTTAGCAGCGTCGAGCGATAATTAATCTGCAAATGGAAATAGAAATGTTTACCATCCCACAAAACGTCTTTTATTTATGCTTTTAATTATTATATTAATATATTAATTATTAATTATTTAATTATTATATAAACCCTTTGCGCTCGACAATTTTTGGGCTAAAGAGAGGTACGAGTTGAAAGATTTTCTGCTATAAAACTGATGATATTTCTTGAGCAGTAAATAAAAAATCGTATAATATTATAATTAACACGGAAAATTATTTAATTTCGATACCTCGCATACTGTTACATTATTTTAAATTTGATATATTAATTAATATCGATCTTCGAAATTTTATCAAATGGCAACTTAAGCCTCTCAAGTACAAAGGGTTAATAAAAGTAATTGTAACAGATATGTCGATAGTTTCGTTATTTATGAAAGTACAAGCTTCATTTATTTTCTGTTTGATATTATCTGATGTTATAAGTTGATCGTTATAAACGTATTTGGAATAAATTGTTTGAACGTGATCAGTTCTTTCAACGATATTTTCATCGAATAGTTAATAATACGAATAATAAACAATGTTTCTTGTTGGGTTGTCTATCTAATTATTTACGTTAAATTATTTTCGTTATTACTCGATCAATTTAAATTAGACATTATAACGTTGTAAGACGAACTTAAGAGACTAGTACATGAGAATTAGTATCGTTAATTAAATGACATCACGATGTTACGAATAATCATCACTAATGATTAAAATTCCTTTTGATTACAAAAGAAAATTGTCGATGCCAACAGTTTAATTTTGGTTACGGTAATTATTTAAATAAGTTAATATTTTGCTTGGTTATCAATAATCGTTGAGAGAATTAGGAGCATTTCAAACATTTTCTCAATACTGTAAATCATCATGCTACGCGTTATTCTTCATATCGTTAACATGCACGCATATGAATACAATATAGCTATCAATAATGTTTGCAAACATCAGTTATCAATAGGAAAGTATAAGGTCAGGACTATGTGTTACACATTGTGTTCAGAAAGCATCAGTTCGATACAAAAATGGATACGATACAGCTTGGATGCCTCGCTGTTCTATGCTTAGTGTTAAAAAGGGAAAGAAAACGAAACTGTCGTTGGTGGGTCATTACCGTGTATTCAAATTCATACTAAACAATATATCGCATTGCCAGCGTGTTTAGCCAGTTGCGTGCAATATAAAACAAGCGGCATTTCGTGAGTGTATCAGAACGCGTTCCACGCTTGTGTGGTCAATTCTATTTGAATTGATAATTTCTATTTTATCAGAGAAAACGCGACGTGTGACACACAGCGTATGAAACGCCCGTATAGTCGCGGCTTAACGGCTATCTAATAACAAGAAAGAAATTAGGAAAATGTAACATTACAAAGATATCCCATGTCATCCATTATTAATTAATTGTACAAAATTAATTTTCGTCTGAAAATTTGTACTGCCATATTTTTCCATTAAATTAAAAAGATATTTCTTTTCGAGCTCATTGAATTCATCTCGATACATGTTATCTGATAGGCAAAGAAATTATAAGGTTATACACAAGAAAATTAAAGGTGACTTTATAAACTTACTGAAAAAAGTACGTAGTAGAGATTAATTGTCAAGATCTCGAAGGTCCACCAAAATTATATCACCTGTAACAAAACGCAATTTTAATTGATGAAGTGATAATGAAAATAATCGAAATAGTCACATCGGGTGATATAGATTGTCAGCGGTAGTCTACTGTGTTTTTTTGTTATATACACCTAATTCTGTTTTTACACGATAAAAACAAGTTAGCGGTAGTCTACTGTGTTTTTTTGTTATATACACCTAATTCTGTTTTTACACGATAAAAACAAATAATACGTGTAAAAAAAATTCGTGTAAAAAAATATATTGCATTTATGGAAAAATAGAAGATTGGTTCCAGTCCCAAGAAATCAGCAAAAATAATACAATAAACTATGAGTTTTCATGTTAGGATCTTAAACATTTTATTTCATAAAGATTGCACATGTATCGTACAAAGTAAATTATCATTTGAAAAGGAAAGAAACATGTCACTAATTCATGAACACAAAAATTAGGCAAGATATGAGTTACACGTAAAAAGATTTTATTCGTTGTCACTTTCTGACAATAAACGCATACGTTTGCGTAAGACTGCAATATTACTGCTATCGCTAGGAATGTCTTGGTTATCGTCTTCGTGCTCCATTGGTGAAATTCTTTGTAATCTCTTGAACAAAATTAGGATTAGCCTCCTGTGGTGCCGATGTTTCAGTGGATTTAAGAACGAATTCGGTAATTAATCGTTGCGTTTGTGTTTTGGCTAGGCCAGAAATTTGGGTCGATCGTGTTAAATCAAAATAAGTCGTGTAAAAAGAGAATTAAATTTTTTTCCTAATTCGTGTTAAATCAAAATCGTGTAAAAACAGAATTGGGTGTATTATAAAAATAGTATTTACCGTTAGCAATATTAATCATTTAGCGGATCATGATAAATATAATAACTGGTTGTGATAATTGGTTATGATAATTGGTTTTACAAGGAGATATCACCCATTGACAAGTCTAGAAATAATGATACAATGTCAACAAAATTATGCGCATCGATACATTGCTAGACCTTCGTTTCTATGCAGTAGTCGTGCAAAGTATTTTGGCATGCTGGAAAGGAATTTTGTGAAATGAATTTCCATTTCATTGTTAATCGTATCTCTACCCTTTGTTTTTATGAAACTTTTATGAATGTTACGATCCAATAAATTTCATAGACTTTCTATACGATTTAAGTTTGCCTATCGTCAAGAAGACGATAGACGTCTTTACTGAATAGAATCGTAATGAATAGGTTCGATCTTCCGAAAATAAAATTAGTTTAAATACAAACTTAATTGGACTATTTTAATATGAATAGAAGTATATACTTTACATCATACGCTGTAAAATTAAATTTATGATATAATCACTGGCTGTTTCTCAATATATTTGTGATTGCATTTTCAAAAAATAATATAAAAGAAATATGTTTTATAGATGGATCGGTATATTTTTCTTGGTTAAGAAATTAAGAAAATGATAGTTATCAACATGATTTATACACTGCGTCGATAATTTAACAGTAACAATATAGCGGTACGAACAACTTTAACAATTTAAATAACTTTAATTGATACAAAAATCAGTGCAATAATCGAAATAGAAATAGTTACCGTTCATACTCAAAATCATGAAACCATAGAGTCATCTTCATAATCTAAACTGCTCATTTCTTTATTCTTGTGAAGAAAGTAATTTATTTTTACTTACTCTTCAAATATGGGTATAAAACCGTTTTTTTGTACAACTTATTCTTCTTCAGTGGTTTTCTTGTATGGGAATCAATTATTGGAAATTTTTCTTTGCATTTTTATGATATTACAATTATAACTCATGCTACTAAATAAACTTTGGCTCTAATTGACTTAATAGAATTGTTTTAACAAAATATATTCCATTTTTATCGTCTCAAAATTTGAATTGAATTTAAACACTGTTTCTTACCTATACTACGTCTGAAATTTGGAGGATTTAAATATATATTTACTTATATATTAATATTAGAACTACCGAGTTGTAATGAGTAGCTAAATATATTATTCCATTATTCCGTTTGTGTATACAATTAAAGATAATTGTAGTGCGGAAGATGAATAACTGTAAACAATTACCTTTCGATGTGAATAAAAGTAAGCATAAATTTTGTCAAAAGCAGTTTATATGTTCTCAGAAATTGTACAAATAAAATATCTGAAACGAGTTCTACCCTTTGGTAGTTCTAGCGTTAAAAGGTGTATTATTTTTATACTTATTTATATATATTTATTTTTGCTTACACGGTATAAAGTTCATATGCAATTCTGATAGAATAATATTTAGTTTATTTTTTTAAGCTATATTATACGTTATGTATCGTATATATAAAACGGAAACGTAGACTATAATGAACTCATTTGATGTTCAGGTTTGTAGAACGTGCAATGCAACAGGATATAATTGCGGTATAGCTGAAGGCAGCAAGGCAGGCCCAGGAATAGATGGCGCCGATTTTGTCTTGTATGTATCCGCAATGCAAACTGAAGGATGTGGTAAAGCCGTAGCTTATGCAGTGCATTGCCAACAAGAAGAAGCATTAGACAGGTAAATTAATTGTCTGCTTATTCTCTGTACAATACAGTAAATTATAGTAGAACTACGAAATAAGATATGGTGTTTATTACATATGTATATACCTCATCGTTTATGAATAGTAATAGAATAATGTGATGCACTACAAGAAATTAAATTTCATTTTTGCAGAAATCGCGATGTAATTTGATTTCTTTTTAAATGCTTTCTCTGTGAAAAATAGCTTATGATTAAAAAATTTTAGGATACGTGATATTTCTTATTTAACTACAATGTACAATTGTTAACTTTCTAATTAGTAAAATTCATATTAAATCTTTTATAATAATGAATAAGATCTTGTAATATAACCAGGAAAGGTGTGATTTTCATGAAGAAAATATCGCATAATTTTATTAAAAATTTTGATTGAAAAACATTTTCAAAATTTATAAATTAGAATATAGCAAAACTTGTTGTATATCATTGTTACTAAATTCTCATTTTCTAACAAATAATCAGACATATTTCATTTAAGAAAGTTATTTGTAAGCTGTTGATCCTGATATAATAATTTTTATTAATTTTAATTTTAACATATTAACATGGAGAAAATTATCTTTATTAATTAAAAATGTTAAAAATATTTTAAATCAAACATATTCGCGTTAAATTAATTGTAATAATACAATATCTTGATTTTCAAAATTGTTTAACAGAACATGGAATTATATTGAAGCATAAATTTATAAAGTTATTGGAAATATAAAACATAAAAATCGACTTATATTTGCACAGGTATAACATATTTAAATAATTCGTTCATTTTTTCAAAGACCAAATTTCAACCATCATTTTGAATTTATTTTTTGATGAGAAGTTGTTCCTTTAAGGAGGCAAGGCCGTTTGAAATTTTGAAAAAATTGATTTTTTTTTTCTTAAATAGTAGTCTAAACTCTTAAAAGCAATATACGAAAGGTCCCAGCCTCTAAAATAAATTGGTTTTAGATGTAAGGAAGTCAAAACCGATTCGCAATCTTGCGTGCCGTAACGCATCAGCACACGTATAATGGCAACGTGACAGTTTATCAGTATGGAACTGGTTCTATAGATCTTGATATCAGAAAAGTCGAGGAGTCGACATTATATGTTTATTTTTGGTCCGCTTTCGGCCGATTGACTCAAAATTAAAACGAAATTTTGATAATGCAATATAGCGTTTAACTCCAAACTACAGTTTATTTAGTGTCATTGCAAAGGAAAAAATTGCTGTCTATATTGCTACTAATATTTTCAATAAAGGCTTTTTCAGTGTCTTATGAAATATGAGCACTATGAATTTAATCATGAGAGAAATAGCTTCTGCACTATGTGCCACACTTGAGAAAAAATTATTGAAACACCTAATAGACGATAATTTAAAAACTCTAAAAAGAGTTAAATTGCCCATAGATCCTGTCTATCAGTCGTACAATAGACTAAAGTCAAAGTAGATGGTCATATATATGAAGTAGAAATGATTGATTAGTAAAAAATTAAGTAAAAATTACGTTCCGAAAATTTGAACGCGTTTTTCTGGAAATTATATTTCTGAAAACGATGCGCAAGATATCTCGAGATCAATTATTATGAAACATTTTTTTAAATTATAGAAATTTTTTTTTAAATTACCATTTAAAGTTTTATTAAAAAGTTATAATAAAGTACAGAGTATGAAGAGACAGTCAATTATCGAAATATTTACATATAATACTAATTATTACTATTAATCATTTAATATTAATCATTACTGTTGATACTAATTTTATTCAAAATAACTCTGAATTGTGTTAAAAATTAAATTCCTAGAACACGCTAATACCGAGTTTCAAAATAACTATCACCTTTAACAGTACAAGATTGACAGTAACTGAAAATTAAATTCATTAATTTTGTATATCAATTCATAGTACATATTAATGCTGTGTGATATACTTTTTTTTTAATGTTCTCTACAGACAAAAGCCAAGTGAAGTGAGATCAAATAATTTTATATTTTTATTATAACATTTTAATGAAATGTCGAATAACCTCTATTATATATATAAAGAGTAAACAACAGTAGTTACATAAAATGATATTAATATGAATAAATGTATGCTTTATATTTTTATATTCTGCTTAATTGTTTTTTTCGATACATTCGATCTAACTGAAATGTAATGCAATATTTTCTAGGCCGATAGCTGGACATGCCAATTTATGTCCGAAAAGTATTAGCACGAAACCGCAAGAGCTAGAGACGTTACTAAGTACCGTGAAGCACGAGATACTACATGCCTTAGGATTTTCTGTAAGTCTATATGCCTTCTATCGGGATGAAAATGGTGAGCCGAGAACTCCAAGAGGACATGACACGGGAAAACCACTATTAAACGAAAAGTAAGCATATATATTCCTTTCTTGCTATTTAATGTTATTTTACTTTATCTAAAACATTTGTTGCTTTAATTATCGTTATGTAAGATTTAATTAGTCGTGGATATTATCTTCTTTTTATTTTTCTTTGAAATTATAAATTAATCAAATTAACGCGATTCGAATATTTTAATGATATTTATGTACTCAGTAGAAATTCAATATATTGATATTTTAACATTTTTTTGCATATTTTCATGCAGAATATTCTAAAAAATCGACCTGCGTAATAAAACAAAATACACATATGCTTTATCGTTAAAACAAAATGCATTTACATTTTTTAGATATAGTTGATGCACACGAAATAATAGTGATAAAATGTTAAATGCAAAAATACTGTAGGATACAAAAAGAAATCGCAAATCGGCTATTGCCAAGAAAAACAAATTGTAAATCGATCGATATCTTCTAGAAGCAAATCGAAAAGTTATTCTGTATAACAAAATTAAGTTGCATGACTCCTCTATGGGGAGGTGAAGCGTAGGTTAAGGAAAGCATAAAAGCGTGGTCCTTGACAACCAAAACAGAGTCCTTAGAAATCGGTTGTGACCAGCACAAGTGTGAGTCTCTTGGTGTTGGAAAAAGAGTTTTAAAAGAGTGCGTCCTTGTGTGTTTTCATTTCGTTATCTTGGCGTTCTTTTCCCAAGTTAAATCAGTTTACGAGTTTTGAGTTTGTGTTATCGTGTTCTTGTTCTTTCGATAATTTTCGGTGTCTCAAGACCAGTTTCGCCATCCTACAATACAAATGTTCCGAATTCTGAAATAGCAACTGAAAATATTTGTAGGAGATACATTACTTAGTACCTACTTCAGCGTGCGAAGTATTAGCCTCTTTGGTGTCCGTTACTATCCCTACCAATTCTTGAAAGTAGAACCTTATTGTCAAAATGAACTTCAAACGTGCCAACTCGTGAGTTAAATTGTTATATAAAACTTGATGTCGATCTTTTTCGATTGTTTACGGGTATTCACATTCGTCCCTCCTACTTCCTTCAACTGAATTCGAGAATGTCACCTTCTCTCATAAACGTCCAAATTTCATCTCGACTGTGGATACTAAAGTGAGCACTACTGTAAATAACTAAAACATTAATCAATGTTACAGGATGTTGATTTAAAATGGGTTCTTTATTTATGAAAAGATTTGAATTCTTTTGAATGTTTATAATATTAAGCAAAAGTTAGTAAATTTATGGCTAATACTCATTAATGAACTAACAAGTTAACTTTCAACTGTTGATGTACCTTTCTGCCATCATCAATATCGGCGTAATGTCAATTTGTAGTATTATTAGATAGAAGTCTATTGTTGTTTGTACAATTGTAATATATTTGTTATTCAGTATTTATTACGGGATTTATTGATGATAAATATTTTAATAAAAAATATACTCTTTGTTTGTAAATGAAGTGAAATTAGTTTCTTTAATTTTGATATAAATATATTAATATATTTGGTACTAGTTAGGCCTAGTAAATACTAGTTTATGCAGATTTTTATCGGGTAATCTAAACATGTAGGAATTCCGTATTTTTTCATACATATGACATTCTTTTCTTTCTTTTTGGTGCGTAGTTCTTCTGAGTCTTGTATGGTTTTGAAAACTCTTTTTATGAACATTCTAATTCCTAGAGGAATTTTCGAATTATAATACATGTCTTTCTTGCATGGCTCGTTACTAGTTCCATTACACCTTTTTCCTTTTTTTAAATAATTATATCGTTTATAAATATAATTTTTATTTTACATCGCTAATAGTTGTACGTAGTCAATTTGACATTATATCACCGCTTAAAGAGTCATCGTCTTTTTTTTTCTGTTTGGTGTAAATACCTACAGATACAAATTATAAAGTTGGTCGGGGGAGTCAGAGACATCTACGATGCCATTTCTGTATCAATGAGGACGTCACTAGATACAATAACTTATGGTCGAGCTATATCGTTCAAATGAACTATATTGTCAATTATATAGTCAATATAGTTAAATGAAACTATATAATCATTTATAACTATCGTTATACTTATACTATGAAAATCATACGAGAATAAATCTTGTACATTATTAAAGTTAATTTCAAGCAAGGATAACGAGGTCGTAAAATTATTCGAGGGTAAGTATATATATTCGATGTTCCAGTATAATACAATCGGTACAAATATTCTGGCTTTCGGAACTTAACTTTTTGCATTACGATTTAATTATGGAAAATTGTGCATTGGAAAAGTATTTAATTTTAGTTAACCATTACACATCTAGTCCATTTATGATAAAATTAGATGAAAATTTTAGAATATTTTGGAGTTTCGTACATGGTAGAATGTGTTAAATATAATTATGGCTCCGCGATAAATGTAGCAGGTAATCGTAAAATTTGGCACCAAGAATTCGTGACGAAGTAGACTCGTTATTGTAGTGTAGGGTTAAGACATGTTAAAAAAGTAAATAATACCAATTGATGCTAGAATTATAAAATGAGTCAAAATGATTTGTTCTAGATATTTTACTTTTACAGTTACTACAAACATTTAATTTTATCAAAATTAATATTAATTTTTATTCTGACAGAATCCTAATTTTCTATAGTTATTTATTTTCATTAGACCATTTTAATTATGATTACCTACGGGTAGTATATTCAAGTGCACATTGCAATTCGATAATCTCAATGTTCATACCGTATGATGCTGTTTAATACTTCCATTATTTACGCAAAATTAAAATTCTTTCAAATGTTTGAAATATTAAACAAGCGATGATAGATTAATTTAGAAATATTAATTAATAATCTAAGTTGTACCTGAAATTTTATCAACAATTTTTTCCACTTGACATTAAATACCTACAGTCACCATTAAGACAGTCTTGAGTGACGGTGTTATTTCAGCGTCGATCACGGGTGTCGCAAGATAGAATAATTTATGACCTCGCTATGGCGTTTGAACCAGCTATTCATTCATCTTTTTCCTCCACATTTATTTTTCTATCTCAAAGCGAACTCGAGATGTAACTCGTCCAAATTGCATGGGGCGTCCTGTATACCCTGCGCGAGAAAAACCGTTTCATCCGAGTCTGACTAGTGTGTAGGAAGCAATAGGTCGCTTTGTTCGACGATCCATCATCCGGCAATGATGTCCCTTTGTCTTTCTCGTTTCTTTTTTGCCAAGAAGTCTTCTTGCTCGCGTATTCTCAAACTCTGACACCGGCTCTGTGTATCTGCCTTTAAAATTGGAAAATTCCTCGTATTCCTCGTATTCCTGGTATTCCTGGTTCTATCCGAATCGACGAACCGTAACGAACCAGGTTCCGGCGTTGGCAGGCGAACACGTTACTCGCCTTCCACCATTTCTTTTTCTCTCTTGACGTTTCTCTTACACTGACTTGTACCTTAGCAGCGGTCTCATGCTTTCCTCGTCATCTTCCGGTTTTCACCCTTCGGTATCCATGATCCATCTGACCAGACTAAGCTTGCATTTTCTCATTCTCTCGTATCTGACTTGTGAGACTGTCTGTGGATCTTCGTACATTTTATATCTACAATGGACAATACCAAGATGTACCGTCAAGAACGTTCTTTCGTAACTTACACTGTATTACGATGATTTTTGTACGTGCGAAGATGTCGGACCGAATATATTCGAAATTAGTGAACTGGTTATTTCACCAGGTTTAGCATTGTTCGATAATCGATTATTAGCATTCGGTAATCGATTAATTACTTTTTTAATGCGTTGTACTATTTCAACGGTTAAAATTATTCGTACGTAATAAATGAAATTTATATGGAATTATTATTAATTATTTTTATACGAGGTGTCCCGGATTATTTCCATCAAACTGCAGCAACGTAATTCAAAGACCAAAAGGAGAGAGAAATGTTACATGGAGTTTATGGATAATTGCTTTGTTATAGAGTTATAAACAAATATTATATGCACGGAATACGTAACAACGCATTTTCCAGTACAGCGCACGGAACGCGGAAAGTAAATCGTGTTTTTCTGTTTTACGTAGTTATATGTTTCATATCAACTGTTAACAAGCAATCCCATGAAAATTGGTAGTCTAAGAAAAGATAAATTAAATACTTGTTTAACCTTTGCACTCGAGAGGTGATCCTCAGTCACCATTTCATAAAATTTGGTAGATCGATATTAATTAATATATCAAATGTAACAGTGTACGAAGTATTGAAGTCAAATAATTCTATAATTCTACTATTATACAATTCTTTATTTACTGCTCAAAAAAGTATCGTCAGTTTTTTAGTAGACTTCTTTGAATTTCTACTCTTCTCTAGCCAAAAAATCGAGTACAAAAGGTTAAATTCTCATTTCAAAACGATATTCTTCTGCTTGAATGCAAGTTTCCTAATGGTGGAACAATCGAATTTATTATGCTAAAACGTTTCTGAGTATTTTGCTAATTCTCAACCGTTGCAATTGAATTCCCTGCAGAAATTCTTCTTATGCAGGAAACATAACTAAATACACAAAGCGGATAAAGAAAATCGATATCCTGTGTGCTATTATGGAAAATCTTGAAGAAACATTACTAATTGTTCCGATATACCCAACATTTGTTTGTAACTTTATAACAAAATGTTTATTCGCAAACTTTATATAACATTTTTTTCTTCTTTTGATTTTTTAATTAAATTCTTAAAATTTGTCGAAAAAATCCGCGACACTCTGTATATTACAAATTTGTTTATATCGTTTATATGTAGTTGCAACTAATCGAGTTCTAGAAATTTTGTCGCTCTATTTTCTCCAAATCAAATATCTCAATTATTCAGTTAATCGGTTAGTTAGTACAAAATCAACTATCCCTAGATAATGCCTTTATACATCAAAATTGTAATATACACATTTTGTTTATAAAAATGTTATCCTTGTTAAAAGAGATGGAGTATATAAAAAAAAAAATTGAAACATGCTTATAATGCCAAATTTGTTATTTATGATAGACTTATTTGATATAATATTCATCAGATTTTCTAGATATGAACAGTGTTTTACGAACAGTATTTCATTATCGCTAAATTTTAATTTTATTACGAATTTTAGAAACTACAGGTTATCTTGAACTCACATTATGTTAACTGCAATGTTGAAAAAAATATTCCACAAAGGAATTTATGCAAAATAATTAAAACAAAAAAAAAAAAAATACGCGGGATCATAAAGGAAAATTGAAATAAAATACATTCTTAACGTAATTTTAACTTTGTTGTAACTTTAAGTGCCTTTTTAGGCTATTTAAATTACGTATGAAATATTTGGTATATTATTTATATTTTTCATATTACATTATGTTTTATAATATATTCTGTTATATTTTAATTGAAGGTAATAATTATGCGGAACATCTTGCATGATATTTATTATTGCTACTTTAATGAGATGTATTTTAATTAGGTTTCATTTAATGATTCTTCCTACCACCCACTAACACTCGACGTTCCCTCTGCCTAGATTACAAACGCATCAGTGGAGCGAAAATACGATCAAGACCGTGATCAGACCATACTGGCAAGTGCATGGTAGCTACGTGGAAAGATCGATGCAAATGATAGTCACGCCAAGGGTTCGCGCTGAAGTTCAGGCTCACTTCAATTGTCCAGATCTCGAGGGTGCGGAGTTGGAGGATCAGGGGGGTGATGGCACAGCATTAACACATTGGGAAAAACGCGTGTTTGAGGTATATCGCATTAAATATAAAATGTAACAACAGACAATGAATACCTAAAGACGTAGAATAAATATTTTAAAATTCATTCGTTCTATATTAATATTCATTCTATAAACTTTTTAATTGTTCACTATAATTAAAATTATTTGCATAAAATAATTTCTTTATAGCATTCAAATACAATTATTCAAATAATTATTTCACTAATATTTATTAATATGATGCTTGAACTATTTTTATCGTAAATAAAGTACTTTAATATATTAATTTTGCAATGACAACATAGTAAGCTGTTTGTGAAAAAGTTCAATGTATAGTAAAAAAAATTTAAATATTAGATAATTAGAGAGGACGACATGACAAACACAAGACGGAAGTGTAATGAATAAGAAAATAATATATTAACGTTACAATATCAGTGTTAATTCAGATTGCTCTATTTAAAGTTGAGAAAATCCATTTATTAGATTTATATTATATTGCATGTTTTTGCATTTAAATACAATTATAAATATTCACGTCAAAGATATGAAAAAATAATTTATTTTCTATGACTATAAATATTTTATTCGTATAAGTTTGTAATTAATTTATAGCTTTTTTGAAATGTTTTTGCATTCTTTTCACTATCGAGGTATAGAGCGACACCAATAATGCTTTTCCTCGTATCTCGATTTATAAATACTTTGCATTTTATAGAATTATAAATAAAATATTCTCCTCGTTTATTTGCATTTTCTGTAATTAAAAAATTAGAAATTTTTAATTTACAATCTATGAGAATTTTGTACAATCTCCCAATTTTCATGTGTCATAAAATTTTCGCTATATATATAATTATTGTTATCTTAGAACGAAGCAATGACAGGGACACATACTCAAAATCCAGTTTATTCAAGGATAACCCTCGCTCTCATGGAAGATACTGGATGGTATAGTGCAAATTACTCAATGGCTCAGGAATTGGGATGGGGTAAAAATCTTGGTTGTGACTTTGCAATGAAATCGTGCAAAGAATGGATATCTTCGAAATCATGTCGATTGTCGTATGTATTCTTATTATTAATACAATATATACATATATCTATTCGTAATATATATAGACAATGCATATGTATATTCATAACAATTAGTTACAAATAATTATATATTATACATTACGTTTTAACAAGATTAATGAAATAAATTCATTCGCTAATATTATACAATATTCAATATTATATAAATACTTACAATGTTATATTTACATATATATGCATATTAAATGTTAATAACGTTTACATTAAATTATTACATGTTATCTTATAACATAATCAAAAACAAATTATTCCTTCACATTATTCAAATATTAAAATATAGAGAATAGAAGTAAGTAAATTTAGTATAGTGCATTTTATAAAATTACTTATAATTTTATAAAATGGTGTATTTTTTAAAGATACTATTATTATAATATTATAAGTACATAAATTTTAATATTAGTTTTATTATTAAGTAATTTAATTAAATATTAAGTATTTATAATATGTTTATTATCGCTTTGCAGAAGAAAATCTATTCATCCTTTCTGTAATAAAGTAAAGCGAGATCCGTTACAAACCGAATGTACCGATGATCGAAGTTCAGTGGCATTGTGCAACCTAATTAAATATCCACAATCACTACCCAAGAAATATCAGGTATAAAATTATATTCATGCATAATATAGCTTATATGAAATCACTAACTCCTTTTCTGTAACTGATGTATTAATTACACATATTTTAAGCACTCATACTTCTAGCCGTTCTAGTTTTTATGTACAAATAATAATATAATCCTTTATTTCTAAACTATAAACTAAATGCAATGATAAATTATAGATTCAGATATAAATATTAAAATACTGTAACTCAGAACAAAGTAAACATTAAAAAACTATGTTTATACAATACATACATGAAAATATTAATTCGGATCAACATAAAGTCTAGCAGTTGAAAAAAGGAAAAAATAATTAAAACTCAAATTTTTAATAATGAGAATAAGTTTATTTTTTACGTATATTAAAATAAAATTCTAATACTCAACAGCCGCTATGTGTTTCAAGGATAAAGAAGTTGCTTGGTTGTGAAAGACTTTCGTCCAAAACAAATTTTGAATATCTTTAACAAAATAATAATCAATTGACTAAAACATCGTTGTAGTCTAAATAATTTAATTTATAAAAATAGTTTAACTCCAGATCCATTTCGGTTATGCAATGTTTATGATTGTGCCGTGAAGCGAAAAGTAGTCATTATTAGTCAAGATTTGCATCGCAGTAGTATTTTATGCGTTAGTTGTAATAATAAAAAATAATCAGAAATTTACAAACAATATAACACAAATCTTTATTTAGTTCCTATATTTCCAAATACTAAATAACGAAATTCAAATTTGAGTTAGAACGAAGACTGAATCCACAGTTCGCGACCATAATCGGTCTACTGTACGAGGGTCATCGTTTATGTAGTTTTTTAATTTCGTAACAATTTTAATTTTCAACGATTCGACGCACTCTATAATTTTGCCGTTCTAACAAACAACGATAAATGATGCCACCACACAGCGTTATTTGTTTTCAAAGCAATCTCTGCATAGGAAAAAGCTTTATGCAAAGCATCGAAGATTGAATATCAATGACTTACTTTTCATCTCGTACCACAATCTTACCCAAAGATAAATCGTTTCTGTTGTTTGTTGCTTTTAAAGTTCTTTTACTTTTCAATTTCACCCAGAAGAGCACGAACTGTTGTTTTACATACATTAAGCTTCTGCGCAAATTCTTGAACTGATGCTCATGAATCAACTTCAACTAGTCTCTTTAATTCGTCGTTATCGCCGACAGAACGTTGTTTTTATCTTCGTGTATCTCCACCCCAACACCCTCATCTCTGCAATGGAACTTTTTAAATCAATGCAGAACTGCGCGCTCGTTAACCATTCCTTTACTAATACGCAATTTACATTGCAAGTGGTTGGCTGCTAGTTCGTATACCATCCTTGAACGTATACAAATGGAATTATACGACCTTGCACTTTTCCATCCTTAACACGGAAAGTAGAAGTATAAATATAAAGAAACAAAGTAAAATCTACATTTCAGATTAGCACTCTATGGAAATAGGTAAAATTTATTTTACGGAAAGCATCAAAATCCAACTGTAAAATATTAGTCTGCTGGCAATGTCATAGAATTTTAAATCTGTATATAAAAGTCTAGATAAACATTAGATTATTAAGTTTTGTTTATTTATCTAATTTATGCCACAATTTTGCACATATTTCTATTGCATTAATTATATAAGTTTTAGTATTCCTGGTCATTTCTTAGTATATTTAACGTAACAAAATTGTATCTTATTAGTGAATGAAAGTATTTGATATAAATTACGTATTACTTCCCTGTAAATTTGCAAATATTTACTGTAAAAGTGTGAAAATTTGTATCACTACAATTGTTAAATATAATTGCTTCCTTTTAAATTTGTGAATAGTTATTTTAAAGATACAAGAATATTATAGTATTGTAATTTTCAAATATAGAAATGATCTACTAGTACAACTATAGAAATAACTATAGAATAACTATAGAAATAAAATTTTATTTCTTTGAAAATGTTCCACTTTTAACTGCCAATCGGGTGAAGACTCTAAAAAATATTTGTAGAATTTCAGATATTATCATGATAAATTTATTTTTTATAAAATTAAATACACAAAAATTTGTAAAATGTTATAAATATATAAAAATTGGCTCATTTTAATATTAACACGTTGAATGCCACGTCAGTTTTACAGGGATTGCCAGTGGAGCCACGATGAATTTTCTCTCTGCAATAGATAAGTTACAATCTATAACTATATTTCACATATTAATTACGGCGGGGGGTTACTATTGAATTAACGATGGTAATAATACAAATTTCTAAGTATTGACATTTATTTAAATTATATATATATATTTCTATCAATCGGAGCGCGCGGGTCACCGATGACCCCCATGGTAATCAACGTGTTAAAAGAGCTCTAATAATGAAAAAGGAGACAAGAAAAAGCACTGTGATTTGTATTCAAAAAGTTTTCAAGCTAAATAACAAATTTCAATCCATTGCAAAGAATTATTATGTCACTCATTAAAATTTAGAATGGACAGTCCCGTGTCTATTTTTAATTTCAAAACGAACTTTAATTCTTACTTTCCTTTGTCTCGGCGAGAACAATATGCTGCAGTTATTTTTCTTTCAATCCTCCTGTAAATTATCCGAACAAGGGAAAGAATATAATTTTCAAATAAGTTAAATATTTAAAACAGGTATTTAGAATATTTAGATTTTATTTTATTGTGCTTTAGAACTAAAATGACAAGAATCCGAATTTATTTCTCGGTAATGTTACATTACTTCTCAAATATCTGTACTCTAGAGAGTAATTCGAAACTACGGATCAATCATCGAATATTTGTTATCTGGTAGAGATATTCTGTTCAATCTTGTTCTAATTTTTGATTAAACGGTTTAAAGAAAACCTTTAAAAATGTAAATTTCGATTTTTAATAATAGAAATTTATATACATATTTTATTTAATTTTAATTTATGTATATTCTGAAAATTTTCTCAACAATCTAACAATTTTTAGATGGTTTACAAACTCTATACAGAAAAGATTATAAATATACAACGTATTTTAATTAAATCGAACTGCGCAATTGCTTTCAAAATTATTAATGACATTGAAAAATATTACAGACGAAATACGAATTAATAAATTAAATTTAATATTTGTATACTTTTAAATATTGGTAGTATTAATATAATATTTAATTTAATTTAAACCATTTTTTTCAACAAAATCATATATCTTTTATGTCAACGAATCATTGCATATAGTTTAGAAAGTACTTTAACATATGTACTTTACATTTATTATTTTGTACACCTTGATCATACTATGATATATTTTGATATATTTTAGTTAGAATATTTATTTAATTCCAGAATTTTGTAATTAAGCTATTAAACATACCAGAATCACTTTTCATTTATTTAATTCTTCATTACTTTCATTTATTTAATTCTTTTCTTTTTCTTTTTCTTGTTACTCTAAATAATTCAAATGTCTTTTTGTAATATTATTTTGTGAAATATGTCATTATATATTTTATGTAAGAAATAATATTATATTGATCTTTTGTTCTTTAGAACTTCGACTCTATACCTCATGTACCATCCGGAGAAGAACAATATTATGGTGGTTCAGTATCTCTGGCGGATTATTGTCCGTATACTCAGGAATTCACATGGAGAACTCGAAATATAGTAGTTAGGGGGTCTCATTGTCTTTTTGAAGAAAACAATCCTAGTGAGTATTTTACTCGAATATTACGTTTAACGAGTTGAATAAACTTACAGATAAAAGAAAAAGATAAATATGTAGAAGAAAAATATGCTCTGAAATATTCTTCCTATTAATTTATTAATTTTGACAAGAAATATAAGATAATATGTATACAGTGAAATTCATTTCATCATAAATAGCTGATAAAATATACGTTACGAGTAAAGACCAGAGAGCAGGTAAATCTATAATTATTTGGACAAACTTAAAATTACCGATGATTTGTGGGTAAAATTTAATTTAAAGAATGCATATTTCAAAATTTACCCGGATAAAATACGTTGTAATTAGTACACGTAAGTACAATTAAGGGTAAGCATTGAGAAGTAGGGTAAGGGAAAGTAGAAACTATACGCTCAATGCTTATTTTTATGGTGTAAGTATTAACACAAAATTTTTTTTCATTCAATTTCGATGTTTGGACTTTCATTTCCAGAAATCTCACCCAAACCTAACTTAATCTTAGGTTAAAGGTAGAATGAAATTGTTCAGTTTAATTACAGGTTAAATTAGGTCTGGACTAGATTTTGTAGGTGTAAAGATACGTGGTGTAAAGTTGGACTGATGGAGGGACCATACACATTATGGGAGATACATATACACATTAGTAATAATAACAATAACGATAACAATTTATTGATCTCTAATCACTCAGATTCTACACAAGATGCTTACTGACAACTGGACACGGTACTGGACACACGGTGACACGGACTTGAACAAAAACAAACGCTTTTGCTCGCAGAACCGGCATAATACTCCATACTCTTCACACTAGTCAACAACCAATTCACTGACTTTTGTATATAATTGGTTTATATGTAACGCTAATATATAACGCTTATAACTATGAGGAAAAGAAATGGAAAAGGATAGTGAAGAGAAAGAAGAACTGTAAATTCGCAAGAGGAAAGACAGACTTGCAAGGGAAAGCAGAAACAACGGAGAAAAGGTATAAAATAGAAAGTGAAGAGACCTGCCTAGGCCTGGCTGGAAACTGTCCAATCGATCCAGGCGAATCCTTGAAAGGGACATTACAGAGGAAACTGAAGATATGTAATTTTTAGATCTGCAACCGATCAAGAAACTTAACTATTCTATCTAAACAAGTGACTTGAGACTCGAGATACTGCATCGGGAACTCCGTTGACGCAAAATGTGGAAACAACGGCATTTCACTGCTAGACTTGCGTATGGTATTCATAACGCTTGTATGATAAACGGCTTCACCGACATTGTCGACAAAATTTTCTTCAACTGCGAAGTATTGCCTTTATTATCCGCTCAAATGCAAGTCTCTCGTCTGTTTTCTGCACCTTCATCAGATTCGCAGAATTAAGAACCTACTGGAACTCGTTGACCCTGGATAGTACATTAGCCACTACGTTGTCTTCTCTAGATACATGCCGGATAGCCGTAGAAAACTGATCGATAAAATCCAGGTACCTGAATTGTCTCGGCGAACACTTTTCAAGGTTTTGCCTGAAACCAAAAGCTTATGATACGCAAAAGCCGTAAAAATTCGTCCTTCGACTATATACTTAAAATTCGTAACAGCTAAGTATATTGCTAAAAGTTCCTTATCGTACGCTCTATAATCTCGCTTGGTTGGGTTCAGTTCCTTTGAAAAGAACGCTAACGGTTCCCAGCCACGCCTCGTACGTTGTTGAAGCACTGCACCGACCGTGAAATTCAAAGCATCACAGGTAATCGCTAACTGTGGGTGCAGTAATAAAGTGACCTGCACCAACGCTTTGACTCAAGAAACACCATGTTGGCCTCCGTAGTTCAATTAATCGGTACTCGACCCTCAACGTTGTCTCCTAACAGTTCATTCAACGGGGTTTGCACCTGTACCGGCTTGGACATAAAATATTTTGTAAAAGTTCAATATGTCCAGACAAAGTATATAATGGTCCGGACCTTATAATCCAATGGGCATGTACTCTTTTCCGAAACGAAGTATCCAAGAAATTTGACCTCTGGTTATCCACACTTCGCGAGGTCTAATCACTATACGTAACTGCTTCAGCCTTTCGAGCAGCGTTTTTAACACAAGATTTACGTAACCCGTCAATTTGACGGAAGAATTACTCCAATTATACGATGGTAACAGATTTAGTTCACTTATATTAATACTGTTAACCCGTTGCACTCGACGATTTCTTGGCTAGAAAAGAGTAGAAATTCAAAGATTCCCTACTAAAAAACTGACGATACTTTTTTGAGCAGTAAATAAAGAATTGTATAATAATAGGGTTGTTGAATTATTTGATTTCGATACCTCGTATACTGTTACATTACATTAAATTTGATATATTAATTAATATCGATCTTCCAAATTTTATAAAATGGCGACTGAAGCTCACCTCTCGAGTGCAAAGGGTTAATATAATATATAATTGTTTTTAAATTAAACTAATCATTAAAAGAAAAGGCACGTGGTTTCCTTTACCTGTCAATTTGACAGGTGTCCTTAGAAATAGGTATACAGTAAACCTAGTGTTAAATGTTCCACGTGTTCCACTTTATTTTCTAACGCTACCAAAATATCGACAATATACGTGCGCATACACAAAGTCTAGACCCCAAAGCACCTCGTCTATAAATCGTTGGAAACGTTTATGCTATATTCCACAACCCAAACGATGTAAGGAGACATTCAAATAGTCCGAAAGGAGTAGTATTTGCCGTTTTACACACGTCTTCAGATGCCATTTATTGATTATACGACCGTACAAAGTCCATGAAAAAACTTTCTTACTACACAGTGTCTGAGCGAAATGCTCGGTGTGCTTCACAGAGTACCTATTGGGCAGAGTTCGTGCGTTTAACTCGCAATAATCACCACACGGTCTCTATTTCTCGGGTTCCTTCTTTGAGACGACCAACAGCTCTGGAAAGGCCTCGCTATTTTCAATTGTACATAGTCTCGAATTCCTTCTTCCCCTCAAGCGGACAAGAGCTAAATGCCGCGGTCTACACGTGACACGTTGGCTCCACGTTGTCCGAATATAATACACAGTGTCATACTTGACAATAAGCAGAATTCTATCCGGTCTGTTAATTTCCGGAAAGCTTAGCACCAGTTTGCGGAACGTCGAATCGCCCGTGACCGTTTAGCGCTCGAAAACGAATATACGCTTCCGCGAATTACTTGTACAGATACTGATAACGACGTAACATTGTCTACCAGACGTTGGTTCCGTACGTCCACTAAGAGTCCGAAATGGTGGACTATCTAAATCCACTCTGATAATCCGCTTCGACACTAACCATGACAAAACGTCAGGTAAACTCTGAACGTAGTCCTCGGTTCAACGTCAACATTATCGTACCGTATGTAGAAACTTTCGATCCATTCGCCGCATACAGAACGTACTCATCCTTCCGGTGAGGACCGCGTGTCGACTTTTGCGACGCATAGATTAGCTCCATTGTTCATTAAAAATAGTATTTTCCAAGTGCTATCTGTCACAAAGAGACAGCGTAATATTTGGCAGAAATTATTGGCCATCATCAATGACCTTCCAACTCGTTTTCCCAGGGTTCCTTCCAAGCACAGGGTTTCTCACAATGGTAGGCGTTGGTGCCAAAACGCCAGTGGTAAAAACATTTTCCTTGTCGCTTCTCCAACCGTCGTCGAGACCGGGACCTTTGTCGCCTCTCCAGCCGTTGTCGAGACTGGGACCTCTGTCGACAATGTGGACTAGCACCCGCAGGTGACCGATGAAGATAATTCTGGCCATAACGCGACCGCCGATTACCCTCGTGTATATCCTGTCTGATCGTCGCTATCTCTCGTTGAAGGGTTATTGTCAATTCGGTCATTTTTAAGTTCAGCCACGTTTCGATATCTTGACTAGACGCCGATGCACTCGCCGTCACAGGTATACGCGGCATCGATGTCTCTATCTGAGACCGAAAATCTGTCGTCTCGTATATCGCATCCGCAATCTCTGCTAGTTTCTTCAGTTCAACGTCCTTGTGCGCGGCTAGTATGATCTGCATGTTTGCCGGTAAACGTCTCATCCATAGGGTCTTTAAAACTGCAACCGACCTCGATGAGCCGGCCAACCCCTGCAAATATCTTAAGAATTGCGATGGATTTCTATCACCCATCTCTTCATGCTCGAGGAGATCCTGATTCTTCTGCTGATAACGTCGCACCAGTTCCAACTTTAGCTTTTGATAAGCCCCTTCTGCCGGTGGATTTATAATAATGTCTCGCACCTCCGTGGCGTATCGTGGATGAAGTACACCTAACACGAAGCCAAATTTTGTTGAATCTTCAGTTATGCCGGATGCTTCGAAACTATACTCAACAATACTGAACCATAGTTCAGGATCAGACGAGTAAAATTCAGGGACTGGTATCGTAACGCGGTCCACTGTATGCGTTCCTGCAATGTCCAGGTCAGCCTCCGTTCCAGAGTTCTCCGCAGGATTAGCCATGATTGATGATAACGAATAACACCGAATAACCGATTTCGAAACGGCACACTAATTCCAACGAAGTCCATAGGCACAATGTCGCGTTGAATATTCACGAAATAGTCTTAGAACGTAGCACCACACAACCGGATTGCATCAGGGTCATCATTTGTAAGGCTTGAGCTAACAGATTGCAGATACATATACATATGTTGGTAACAATATCAATAACAATAACAGTTTATTTCTGATCATCTTGATTCTACACGGGATGCTTACTGACGGCCTAATGCCACTGGATATGCGGTGACGCGAAACTGAACGAGGATAAACGCTTTTGCTCGTAAACGCGATGTAAGACTGCACATTTTCCAGACTAGTTGACAACCAATTTAATACTAACTTTATGGCCCTTCGATCGCCACCAATATATAATGTTTATGACTAGAGGAAAGGGAAAGGAAAGAGACAGTAAAGAGAGAAAAGCATTGTAAACTTGCAAAAAAAAAAAAAAAAAAAAAAACAGACTTGCAAGGGAAAGCAGAAACAGCGTAAAAAGACCATAAAGGCCAAAGTAGAAAGTGAAGAGACCTGCCTAGATCTGGCTAGAAGCTGCTCAACCAGCTCAGGCTAATCCTTGAAAGAAGCATTAGGGGTAGAAAGTGAAATCAAAAAACAATAATTAACTCTCGGACAAGTCTGGTCGCCAAATGTATATTCGGACAACCACGTTCACATAGAATATGGACGAAAACGGAAATTTACAGAAAATTCAGAAAAGAAGAAACAGAAACTAATTGCGATATTTCAGATTTATTCGTTGACACGAGTGTAGTGACAGTACCATAGTCGTCACAATGGGAAGGAATAAAACCTAAATCCCGTTGATATACAAATTTTCTATTAATTTATACATAAAAATTAGCAGCATTATCGTAATTCATACGTTATTACTTTAATGAGAAGACATATACCCATCTTTACCCAAGCTAACATTGGGTAGAATTTTATAGTTTTACTCTGGATAAAATCCAAAACGTGCATGATTTAAATTTCATTTTGGATTTTACTAACAAATCATGGGTAATTTTATATTTAGTCGGGTAATTCTAAGTCTAGGTAATTCTACCCTTCGTTTTTTGGGAATAATTAATTCGGTATATAAGTAACTCACATATCAAGCAATATGTATTTATCATTATTACTAATATTCTTACTTTTTACATCTTATTAATAATTTATAATATTTTCAATAAAACTGAAAATATTAGCTAGTATTCAGGAAAACTGTATTTACTAGTTTTGTTTAATTAAATTAATTTTTGTGCAGATTCAGATAAAAATTTTGCTTTGGAAAAATATGGCCCACATTCAAGATGCTTTGATCATACAAATCAAATGTGGGAAGAAACTACTTGTAAACAAGTTCGACAATGGCAGCATTGGGGTTCTGGATGTTATCAATATAAATGTGAAGCTGGTAGATTACATATTATGGTAAGTGTCAAGATACCTATTTGTATTTTATGTTATATGATCATAGTATTATAATTTTATTATTTTTCGTTATGAGACAAATAATACATATTCTTCTGTTTAAGATGTATGAAATATAATACATTTTATTCCATAGGTTGCAAATTACACATATACGTGTTATCATGCTGGTCAAGAAATTGCTATTAGAATAATACAAAATAATTGGCTGCATAAAGGTGCTCTAATTTGCCCTCCCTGTAAAGACATTTGTCAGGTGAGAATAAATATTATATCAAAAAATTTAATTAATATCATTTTGTTAACGGTATCTAATAGATTCTATATTTAAGGATATGAAGAAATTGAATGCTTCTCCTATTTAGCTTCCGTTACTTAATATTTAATTTTAAAACTATTTATTTTTGTGTTGTATTGGACAAAAATAAGCATTTTTTGCTTTCTTCATAATATAACAACTATATTAATTTATAAATATTGTATAAAGGAGGAATTTATATCTCCCTGAAATATTCTCACTATTTTAAATTGAATAATTGAATAAAAAAATAATATAATTGAAAACATATTTTATCAAATATATCAAATTTCAAAGTCACTTTTCCTTTTTTCTTTTTCTCCTTCATTTACTAATTTATTTGATAAATTTTTACTTTCCTTAATTGTAATTAATCTTAAAATGTCTATATAATAGTAAATGATGTGGTTTTCAAGTAGCTTCATAAGAACAAATATTGACTTATATTGATACATTTTTTTACTATAAAAGTAAAAGTGGATATAAATTAAATATACGTAATATAATTAAAATTACTTATAGTTAAAGTTTAAGTACGTAAATCTATATTAGAAATAAACATTTTTATACTTCAAGATATCTTTATTTCTAAATTTTTAAATCATTAGAAAGTTATATGTATTATTCAATGTATTAGAGTGAAAGTCACTAATTAAAGATATAACATAAAATAAACAACACTAATTCTTATTTATCCTTTTTTCAGGCGGAACTAAAAGAAAGAAATGAATTTTGTAAACCAGGAGATGAACATCCACCTGCGACGTTTTATCACAGAGACAATTTGTATTGTGCGTCCGCAGGAACATATACAAATTTATCATCATTTGTTGTTTTAATTTATTTCTTTGTTTTTAGATGATGCGTCATCGAACCTAGGTAATATTTTTATTAATATCGAGTCTAGGTCGATGAATTATAATAACATACCATCAAAATGTCGTATAAAAGCGCTTCTTAATTGTAATATGAAGTGTTTATTTCACGACATAGAAATATCTATGGAACCAAGTAATAGTTTCATAATATGAATATCAACCGAGGTGACAATTCTATTTTAATAGTTTATTATAAAAAATATTTTCTCGATAATTTTTATATTTCTGAAAATATAGAAATGTATAAAATACGAGTTTAGAGATTTTACAAGCGTAAGATGTTAATGTTCACCATATTTCATGTTTTGCATTTATCACAAACATATCTATAATTACAATGATAAATTTGACAAGGCATTTTTTTAAGTGCCAATAATGCTGAATACACAAAGGTTGATCTATTTTAATGTATCTATTTATCTCAGGAATTATGTTGAATTGAAAAGGAAATTAAGAATTTCAAACACTTATCCTCAGTTAACGAAATCTAAAATTGCATATTATAAAACATTTACATATATAATTGCAGTATACTTTTTTTTAGTGTAAAAATCAAGAACGTAATAATATGGAAGTAATTCTAAGGATTTTGAAGTACAACACATAAGATTAAACACTCTATAGTGAAAATGGTCATTTGAAATCGTTAGTCAAATTTCAGTGATGTCAAGTAACTTTCTTTGAGTCATAATAATCTAATGAACAAAAATTTGACATTTTAGGAGCATTATAGCATTTACATGATATACAATATTCATTATATATGTCCAAAAAACTGAATGTTCCTTCATTGAATTCACAACTATGAAAATATAATTGCAAAGTTTATACAAAATTTTGAATATGTACATAACTTATTATATCATATGTATTATATTCCATGTATTGTACTATTATCTTTTAAAAATGGACCAAGCATTTCATATATGTGTATTATATTGTATCACAAATGTGTTATATATATTATATTTTTGAAATATGTATTTTTTTTGTCATAGTTCAAATGATTTGCATCATGTGTCTTCATTTCTTTCTTTCTTACTGCATTAACATGGAGAAAATTACAAAAAATATTGATAAAGTTTTGTAATATATATTACATCATATATTGATCTAGTGTATCAACCGCCTCTTTTTCTATTATAATCTAATACAATTTATGCCTTTTTACAAAATATCTGTAATTCATTTTTTATCCAGTTGCATTGTAATTATAAAAATGATTTACCTGTAATTACTAAATTTAAAAAATAGAATGTACTGTAAAAATGCCTCATGCTTTGTTATTAAAAAAAACTTAAATATTAAATATTTTTGTTACAAAATAACTTATATAATGTTTCTTATCATTGTCACCAACAAGATAATCTTAATGATACACGTGCATTTATATATTAATGATAATATTTTTCACAATCATTAAAGAAAGATAATTCAAGAATACTTTGATTTTGCATATTTTGTAGAATGATTATAGACTATATTCATCTTAGTTGATTAAAAAAATGAACAATTTAAATATAGTTAATGAAGTTAATGAAGGTTACAAAAACACATGGTTATTGTTTGTCATTAACTATTAATCCAATATAGTACGTGTATTACAAATGAATTTTTCCAAAAATTTGGCAACAGTGAGGAAGACAAAAGCGATTTCTAATGAAAAAATTATTACAGACAATACAATACCTTAGAATCCATTTTCTTTATAAAGAAAAATACATATTTCAGTTACTATGCCTTGAAAATAAATTAAATATCAAATCTTTAATTATTAAAGAAAATGATAATAATATAATTATGAAATTTTTTACATTATCTTGCACATTGCATTAATGTAACTCAAAAAGTATTTACTCAAATAATCTTCCCTCAAGTTTTAAAATAATTTGTTTATAAGAAATAGAAAATATACAAAATGTAGACATAAAATTTAAATACATTCAGCATAAAATATAAATATTTAAAATATGATACCTATTGAAATGCAGTTTCCATTTTAAGGCATATAAACACAAGAACAAAAGAATTAAGCATATTTCTATACCTACGTATAACCTACGTACATATATATTTGAGATAGAGAAAGGGTATGCTTGATACGAGAATCTTTTATTTCTAAAATAAACGATAAATATACCAAACGCAAGGGAAAAAATACAACAAACGAAACGTTGAAGTAGCTAGATTAAAATCTGTTTAGGATTTATCAGTTAATTATTTTAAGCAGGCAAAGTTTGATGCAATAACTCCGAAACAACTTATCTCATTTTTTAAATAGTAATAACACAATTGCAACATACAGATTTATGTTGTCATCATCTCAGTCATTTTGATTTCTATATTGCAAAAAATAAATATTGAAAATCTTTTAAGATTTATATCTAGAAAATCATAATTTAATGTGTAGTTAGTTTAAGTGGTATAACCAAATAAGTTATTGTATCTAGAAACGACTGCGATTGGTACCGAAATAACATCTTCAATGTTATCAGTCTTTGTTGGAACTATTTGGAGTTTCTAACTATAGATTAACATAGATTAATTATTTAATGTCAAGTAATAAAATGAAGCTAAGTTATTGATTAATTTTCCATTTCAACTTCGTTTATTAATCCAATCAAGATCAATCTACTATCACACACAATTTTGATTAATATTCCAAACATTTAAAAAGAACTATAATTTTTCATAAACCAACGTTAAGTAATTTCTATCAATAAAAGAATCAATTTCAAACAGATATTCTACAGTATTAATTAACGATCGAGCTCTTTATCCCTCCAAAATACTTTAAGTGGTTATTTCAAAAGTCGATACCATTATATTTTTGCATTTGTCACTCTATATCGCTTGAACCAACTATGCATACTGAGATAAATCTATATACAAATAAAAATAGATCATCCTGTACTTACATACGTATACAATTACTTACGATAATTATGCCGCCCATTATGTTATCTTTTTCTATGAACGTGGTTTTTCAAATTGAATAGTATATAAGAATTTTACTTTATGAATTGTTAATGAAAATCATTCAAAATCAGTTATTACTGAATCGAGATGAATGGTTATATTTGAAAGTATTAAAATATGTGTATAAGTGCCAATATTATCTGTCCTTTTTTACATAATAGCTTCAATTATTAGTTATATATATATATATACAATATCTTAGTAACTCTTATTTATCTTTTATGTAAAATTAATCTTTCATAAACTAATACATTATATAAATAACAATATTATTGCAATTTGACAAATATTTTATTTTACGAAAGATATAATATGATTCATAAATTTAATTCAAATATTCGTTATATATTCATTGCTATAAGTCTAAAGAGAACTTAGTATGTACAAAATTTTGATACATATAATTTCGTATAATTTCTCACATGATATGATAATAATAATTTTCTTATAAATGCAATACTAAATTAAATTGTGAGTTGACTTTTAGATCGTAGCATTTAATTGCAATTATGATATATTTTACATTAAAAGATAAATAGGGGTTAGATGATAATCTCCTTGCTATAATTTGTTATTGTTACCTCGGAAATATTTTCATTTACAAATTATTAAAGTATTCAATTATTAGATGTTATAAAATTATGGAAATTATGTAGTTCATATATTAATAACAAACGTATAGGTTTTAAGTTCGATAGCTGACGTCAAATACCTATTCACTGCTTATTTTCCGCTATTATATTCGAACTTATTTATTACATTTGTGATATCTAAAGAATTGTATAACAATGTAAAATGAATTTAAATTTTTTACAATTGAAGGGAAATAATATGAATTTGTTTTCGTGGGTAGATTATAAGGGGATACGATATCATATTCACAAATACAGAAAAATAGTATTAGAAAAAATCAGCAAAGAATAGGAACATCTTGCGATAGGTTGTTCTGGAAGTGCTGTGCGTTTAATACGAGTATCAATAAACGTAAATGACATTTGTAAAAAATAAGCAATAGAGAATAAAATGTACATACTTTATGAATACGTATTTAGTATGTAAGAAAATGTAGAAGAATTTTATGAACATAGAGAAATATTATGATTTATTTTTAAATAAAAATATTCATTTTTGCTAATAAAAAATAAGAAAATACAAGAACCTTTGCTATTCTTAAATATTGTATCTTAGTATGTGTTAATAAAATATCGATATGAAAGAATTCAATTAAACGATATCATACATTACGAAAAATAGTACTATTTGGTGTATATAATGAAACTTGACAATTTGATGAGAAATTTACGCTTTTCTAACGGATGTTAAGTATCGAATATAATACGGATAATGCAGAAAGAGATTATATATGTTTTAATAACATTACAAGGCCCAATTAATTAGTAGGCAGTATGAAAAATGTAAAAACATATACTGCGTGTGAGAGCGTCCACAAAACTTATAAAATACATGTATCATAGAATTTATTGAAGGTTAGGTATAATGCTGTACAATTTTTATCCGATAACAATCGTCTCATGTAGCAACAGATTGTTGCACGCGACAAATGCTTCAATTATAAGTGCGCCACTCTATTTTCAGATTGTAGAAACACCCTCACTTTCTTGTATGAGATACATTTCAGAAAACAAAAAGAAAGAAAAAATATTTCTTGTAAAATTAGATTTTATGCCCAAACAGCAAGCTATATCGAAATTTATGATAAAGTAGGGAGTTTAAGAAAGGGTACATGAATTATCTCATACAGAAATTTTAAGTAGCAGTATAAATCAAAGCACGTATATTGTACAATAAGGCGCGTAGAAAGTGTACCTTTATGATAGAAACAAAAGACAATATTATTGAGAAAATTAATTTACATTCTATTTTGTTTTGTATCTCTTCTTTAAACTGTCTTCCTTTTCAAATTTATGTGTTACTCTTTCATATACTGTATCAAATGTTTTGTAACATATATTAAGTCCCATTGACTTATGTTTATTATTATGTA